GCTCAGAGCAGGAAGCCAGGTGCAACTGAGCTCTTTTATGGGGGTCACAGCAACCAGCTAGTGAAGCCATCACCACTGGCTCCCAGAACCTACTTTGGTGGGAAGCTAGATTGGGGGGCTGGAGTCAGATATCAAATCCAGTCATTCCAATCTAGGATGCAGGTACTTAGCACATGGACTAAATTTCTGCTCCCAGTAAAAATTATCTGTATCTTTCCCTGAGATTCCTGAATATAAATTTGGAGTGTGGGATATATGTTATATCTGCGGCATGCTTCTGTACCACAGGACCCATTACAAAGGCGGAATGAAAGAATCTCCTGGGATTACAGAACAGGAAAGCCGGAAACAAGGCATCACAAGGAGTGTGTGTGTGTGTTTAAAACTAGAAAGAAAGAAAAGGAAACAGATACAGTCTTTCATCTTAGGTCTCAGGTGAAAATGGATATAAAATACTTTGTGTTTAGTACAGACTATGGCTCTGTCGGGAGGTATTTCCTTGTAGGAGCTGGTTCTCGGTTCTTCTGTTAAGTGAAAACAGATCATAGAGTCAGTTGGTTTCTCAGAGCTAAAAGGCACTTGAAGAGTCAGAGTTTATATATCTCACCAGTTGAAGAGGTGACACGGTTCTGAACCACTCTTAAGGACTTTACTAGTTCATAAAGCAACACATTCTGGGCCGAGTCGCTGTTATTGTTAGGACAAGCTTCCATATCCTCAGCTGCAGCCTTTATTTCTGTAGCTGTGCCCATTTTCCATAGTCCTACGCTCTGTAGCCATGTTAAAGAAAAAAAAAACTTAAAAGCAAACTTCTCATTAATTAATTAAGCATAGCAAAAGAAGCCAGGCCTCCTCAGTGTTTCCACAGTCTCACACTCCACACCAGGTGCATGGTCCTGTACCCAAGATACACACAGTGATGGGACATGGGTTGGCGTGGAGGACCTAGGGCTGCGCTCATTGGCAAATTGAAGGCCAACAGGGGATGGAAAGGATTGGTTGTAATGGTTGAGTGGTTTAAGATCTTCATTTACAAACAAAACTTGCAGAGTTATTTACAGTTGCCTGCAGTTATTTTTCTTGTTTGACATGGAGAGGTCAAGTGGAATAGGTTTCCCTTAAAGATGGAACACCTGGAAATTTAGACTTAAAAGCTATTTTGTTGTATATTGAACAAATGATCAGATCTTGTGTGGGAAATGCTGGGTGAAGTATACCCAGTCTCTAAAAACTAAGAGATTACCGGTGGTTTTCTGAATGCTCACTGCTTGCTAATAATAGAGGCCAGGAGACCAGGAGGAAGGACCCTGCATCACCAATCGGAAGATCTGGCTTCACAGCCTGAGCCTGCCATCTTATTCATTCATTTTTTCCATGTATCATTTGTTAAACACTTAAGATCCTTCCAGCTCTAGTAATATGTATGTGTGTTACACCTGGGATCCAGACAGACACAGTTGCTGCCCCATGTGGAGTGTATGTTCTGATGAAGACGCAGGTGACCTGTGGAAAAGCACAGCAGTCACAATCCAAAGACAAACCAGAGTCCACAGGGAGCAAAATTTGGGAGTGAGTGGCACAGAGAGGTGCAGGAAATGGTGTTTGATCAGCGAGCTGATGGACCTCACAAAAATCAGTCTTTCTGACCCTTTGTTCTTCATCTCTAAAGTGAAACGAATAGTAACAGTCCCAACTAATCTGCTGTAGTACAAGTCGTGAGGAGGTAAGGAATGGATTTTTGTGATGAGTGTTTTGTGGAATAGTTAAGTGCTCTTTGCTGATGTTAACCATTACCAGATATTGTCACCTCTAAGAGTTTTTCTCCTTCCCATATCCCCAGATTTTGCTGCTTCCAGGACAGCAGGAGCAGAAAGCAGCAGCTTGGAATAGGAACATTCATGTTGCTGTGGTTTCCTCTTCAAGCAGACCACCCAGTTTCCCTGGAATATTGTGGCACAACGTTGGGGGACAGCAAGGGACAAGGCTCTCAGAACCATATGAACCTGACAGAAGGGGCCAGCTTCACTTGGTCCTCCTCTGTTGCAACTCAGTAGCCTGAATGAAGAGGGTTAGCCACACTATTATGTAGACATTGCAAACATTTCAATTTATCCCAGAGACTTGGTTGCCTTGAACAACTTTGTGAACAAGAAAGAAATTTAGTTCTGGGTCCTGATTATCCACAGTGATTAAGTCATTTCCAAATGTCAGCAATTCCTGCTCTAATGAGATTTAATTTTCAATTGTAATGCATGTATTTTACATAAGGGTCACTCTCTGGTTTTTTGTTTATTTGTTTTTCCTCATGATTTTGGTCATCGTGGCTTTTTCCATCCCCCTTTGGTGGACTGGAAGCACAGTCAGTGTTTACTAAGCTTGAAGTTACCATGAAGATTAAAAACAGCGCTGTTTCTCCTACTTAAGCAAAGCTCCCTTTTTCTGGGCTTCAGTTCTTCCATCTGCAAAATGAAGGCAGCGGGCAACATGTGTCTTCAAAGCCCCTTCCACCAGCAACACTCCACATACCAGGGAAGTTGGCCTTTTTCCTGCCCACATTTTCAAACCATGAGAAACCTGGCCACTTGAAGTTATTAGTCTTTTGCTGAAAATCCAGATGCCCAAGAAGGTCAAATCTGGTAGCCTGGGCTGCTATTTAAATCTCTGTCAGACCAGAGAATCTTTGTTTAAAATTATATTTTGTTAATCCATCATGTGGATGCGGAGCTTGCTATTTTTAATTCCAGCTCTGCACAGCTCAGTTATTCATGGCTGAGAGTTGGCCACAGAACTTCAGAGCTGCACTGAAAAGCAAAGAGCTCCAGAGAAGCAAGATGAAGGTGTCTTTCACACTCTAAAATAACTCAGAGTGGGGCAGCAAAGGGATGGGAGGTTCCATGGGCTGCTTTATTGACTGATTTTTTTTTTTTTTGGTTCCTTGACTTCATTCAGAAACCCAAACAGAATACTCCAGATCAATTTCAAGCCTCATCTTCCTCCTCTTTCTTTGTTCTGGGTAATTTGGGAGCAACATAAACTGCCAATTATAGCTGTTTACCACCAATCACACAAACTTCTTTTTCATCCATTCTTGGAAGAGATATCTCCAACATCTTTCAGGCAAACTCCCCTCAGAAGTTACTGTGATAGCGTCCTGGTCTCAAGCATGTATTCAAAGCACAATCCGTACACGTTGATGTCACAGGGAGCCTTCGCAATGTGTGCAGGTTTCCAGAAAGGGTAGATTGCAGCCAGCTACGAGGAGGTTCATACAGAAACTTTCTGGAGAAAGAAAACGTGAGCCTTGCCTTGATATAGAGTTGGGAAGGAAGTAGAGAGCCATTCCTGTGGGTGCAGGTGGGGGAGGTCAGAGGTCAGATCTAGGCTTTGCAGTGATCACCTTGGCAGTAATGTAGAGCAGCTACAGTAAAAAGAGTTGAGTGCACAGCAACCGGAGAAGCTGATAATAACTAGTCTGTGAAGTTGTTACATGACGGTCGGTCCTTGCACTAAGTGCCCTAACCTGCCTTCTCCAGTCTGATCTTTCAACAGTTGACACAGGAATTGTTACAATTCCCATTTGCCAGGAGGCATGACAGAACCAGGAATTCCTTTCACATCTCACCAGATAGTTTCCATTCTTAATTATGAGAACTCACATAAGGAAAGGAACATGGCCTGATCTAAACCAAGGACTGTGGGATAGAGGAGACAGACGCTGAAGAATTAGTGGGGAGATCACTCTGGCTTATAAGAGCCCGTGGGCCTCGAGTCATCTATTGCCTAAATGCCAAGATGTCCGCATTGAGATCCCATTCCGTCTAAAAGGCCCTGTCTTGGGTTGAACCTGCCTTCTCACATAAATGTACACCGAGGTGCAGAATGGGCAGGAAGTGTCTGCTGACCCACATTCTGCCATTCCATCTGGCAAACAGTGAGTGTTCTGCTGGTGTTGTTGTAAAGGGTTTTCCCCTGGGCATTGAATGTTCATTGGAACCTAGGGCAAGTCATTCCGTTTCCCCTCCCCCCCTCATATTTTCGTTTCCCTATCTCTATTGGCACAAGTTGAACCTCATTAACTCATCGTGTGTTAAATTGAATGTGCTGTTATCCAAGAAAATTAATTACCTAGGGCAAAGGGCAAGGGTAGAGGTACTTTAGCGGTTAATCGGGGGGTACACCGTCAGGGTGGTTATCTTCTCTCAACGCCTCTCCCTCTCTCCTTTTCTTTTTTCTTTTCTCCCTCTTTTTAAATAGGCTTAATCCAGCCCTGCTTGGCAAGCCAAACAAAATAGGGCACAGACGGGTGTCCCATTTCTTAAGGCAGGTTCTTTCACGGGAGGTCTTGGAGTTATTGGGATAGAAAGGCGTTCACAGAGATGTTCTGGCTCAGGACACCGCCCTTTACATCAGATGGAGGGTAGAAGGCGCGGGGCAAGTCCTGCCCCCAAGGGCGGGGGATGGAGGTGGAGAAAAACGCCCACACCTCGCCTGGCCGTCAGCCCTGGTGCAGATCGGCAAGTGGCAGAGGCGCGCAAGACCTCTGTCATTTATTTATTTCTCTCTCCACCGGGTGCGCTGTCCCTTTAAAAGGGGACGCTGGTGCTGGCTCCCTAACACCGGAGCCGGCAGCTTGTTGATTTCAGAGCTGGTGAATTTCACATTGTTTCCACTTCACTTTCCCTGTCCTGGGGGGGAGGCTCCGCGTGGCTCCACCGTAGCTGTCGCCTCTGCCAGGCTGGGCCAGGGAGAGGACAGGGAGCTGCAGCATCGCGGCGGGCGTGGGGCCGGAGGAAAGGGTGTCGGGGCCACACACGCACCCTCGCTGCAGCCAGGCTCCTCCCGGAGCCCGGCGCCGCCGGAGCGCACCCAGCCGGGGACCGCCCGCCTGGACGCCCGCCCACGGGCCAGGGCCGAAGCCGGGGAGCCCGAGCGGGGAGGAGGCCCGGGGGGCGGGGTGGGGGACAGGGGTGGGTGCCGCCGCCGCCGCGGAGCTGCTGCTCGGCGCGTTTTGCATGAAGATGGCGGCTCCCACCGCCAGCAAGGCAGCCTCCCTGAGCTGTAACAACAAGCCTGCGTTCCCGGAGCTGGATTTCAGGTCGGGAGCGCGGGTGGAGGAATTGAACAAACTCATCCAAGAATTCACGAAGCACGACCAGCGGGAATACGACGACCAGAGAGCGCTGGAAATCCACACAGCCAAGGATTTCATCTTTTCTATGCTGGGTAAGGAGCAACAAGGGGGAAGGTGTGTGTGTGTGTGTGTGTTGTCTGTGTGTGACGGGCAGCGGACCGGAGAGTCCACTGCCCCCTCTCCACTGCCTGCCTTCCCGTTTCCTTGCCGGAGCCTGGGGATAGCCGGTCTCCGTGCCGCCTCCTCCCTTCTTCCTCCGCCGCCGGCCGAGCCGCCTTCCCTCTCCTTACAGTACTTTGCGCCGCCCCTATCCCCTTGGATCCCTGGCCCTTTTTGTTTCTCGGCCGCACGAGCTGACCGGCAGGTGAGACGTTGGCGGAGAAACGTCTCCCCGCAGGGGAAGCGGCGCGGGCGCAGGTGCGACCCCGAGGCGCCTCTGCGCGCAGGGTGGTGGCTGCCGGAGGCTGGGAGTCGCGCTTCGCTCCACCGCGTCTGGGCTCGGCGCCCGAGCGACAAGTTGCTCCGCCCGTCCTGCGGCGCGGTGCTGTCTTGCCGAGCCCCCGGCGGCCAAACTTATGGGTTGTTCTCGAATAACCGGCCGAAGTAGTCTGCCAGCCCGGAGTTCCCGCAACTTTGCTTTGCAGAGCCACTTCCCGCTGAAGCAATCGGAAGCATTTCCGGTGCTTCTCCGGCTTGTTGCTCAGCCTGGAATTCCAAATTCCCAGCTCGAAAATGACTCGGCGCGGAGCTCTGCCCTTAGTGGAGCGCCGGCCGCCTAATTTTTGTGCATTGCCCTAGCCCTGGGCGGAGAGAGGTGCCCACTCAGGGTTGGGGGCTGGAAAATGCGCCGCCCGCCACCAGCCTCTCGTCCCCTCACCTACAGGTCCTGGAAGATTGTTGTGGCCGGCCTGGCAGGCCGAGCACCCCCCAGGTGTCGGGCCGCTGGGATTTTTGCTGCCGAGTTGTAGGGTAGAACCATTCCCGAGCGGCTCTCAGTGCTCGCTGTGGCACTGTGGCAGTCCTGCGGTGCGCGGTCTTGCGTTAATACCCGCAGAACTGGGCTCGGCTGCGGTGCGCTCCGCGCGTGCCGCTGTATGCGATCCACAGATGCTTTCTCAGCCACTTGTTCAGGCAGGGGCAATTTTAATTTGCAGAGATTTTAAACTCTTCCTTCCTCAGTCTACTTTTGAGTTTCAGTCGGCTGAATATAGGTGCTGATTCTGACCTGGGAGACCTTCCTCCCTTTGGTCTTCCTCGCCTAGCCCCAGTGGCCCTGTGTCCATCCACAGGTCTCACAGGTTGCTTTTGCGAGTTAGATGGGACCTGTTAAAACCTTGGGGCCGTGTGGTCTCCCCCCAGCCTCTCCCGCTCCCCTTCACCATGTATCCTAGATTGTGTAAGAAGCTGAAAAACTCTTTATTGTGATACTTACCTAGGCAAGTATTTAGATTATTTCAAGGCTCCTTCTTCTTTTAAAAAATCTGCTACCTGTGTGTTTCCAAAGGGAAGCTTCAAAATGCTCCCAGAACTTCTGGCTTTGAAATCCAACTCATTGATGGTCTGGAAGGTTGGGGACCCACACAGAGACTCACCAGGGCAGTTACTTAAGTTGTGTAATCATGGGCTATTTTTTTTTTTTTTGTCATCAAGAAGAAAGTCTGTCATTGTGTTATTTCAGCTCCCACAGCAGATCTGGTGCTTCCTGCCTTCTGTCATAGGAGAAAATAAATGCAGGTCATGAATCAGAAAATGGGAGGATACAGGGTAGGTATAGTTCAGGTGCGGGGCTCATTAGCAACGTCTATGCTAACCTCACAGCTGGTACACTGAATTAGCAAAAGCCTTTGTCCAAATATGAAGAATTATTCCAAGGTGCTTAATTTGTGCCTATGTTTCCTGTCACGGGTGGTGTGGTTGTTGACAAGCAACCGAGATTGCCTCCTGGTCCTTGCAAGAGAAGCCTTTCTGGCCCCCTGGGGATTCGGTCTTTCCACCTGCAGGAGAGAAAATCCAGGAGTGTCATTGAAGTCCGCTGCCCCTCTGGACGCTGGAAGGCAGATGGTGAAATGAGCTTCCTGTGTGTGGTGCTGCATTCATTTGCGAGTTCCTCGCCTTTCTTTAATGAGGTGCTGGCTGTTCCAGACAAGTGAAGGCTTGGCGACAGCCAGGGTCCCCATGTGGCTTGACTTTTTCTGAAGCAGATTTTCACTCAGCTCAAGAAAAAAAAAATCTCTGCACACTTTGTTTCACTTGCTACAGTTGTTGAGTTTTTCATGAATATATGAATGAGGTGTCTTAATGACCAACCCCCAGCTTGTTAAGGTGGTGCCTGGGTGGCACCAGGCCCTGATTTGGGGGAGTTATTTTCTGAGAGGGTAGGAATCCTCTTGCCTTTGTTCTGCTTCTCCCTGGGCTACACCTCAGCTGCTAGAAAACCATAATCCTCTTGGGAAGAATGTAGTGGCCAAGGAAGTTGGTACCTGCCTGTTAATGACCAAGTTGTTAATGCTGCTGCTGGTTTCAGGCAAGTTGCAGGTGTCAGGAACCACAAGCTGTTCTGTCTGGGTGAAGTTGTTAGCTTGGGCTGAAGCACCAAGCTCCCCAACCCCTGTTTAAGGGGTCTAGTTTCAAGGCAGTGTTATGCAGAAGAGCGAAGCAGTGGCCTACAGCTGTGGTAGTGACCTGTCAGCACCTGGACCTTCCCCTCTCCTTTGGAGGCAAGATGCAGCACAGGCTGTGGGTGTGATGGTGACCTGGCCTGATGTTCTCTGGACAGAGACTCTCATTTCTCTGCAGGCAGGTGTTAGCTGGAAGCATTGAGACTTGTTCCTTATTTTTCTATACCTTGGTGTTTTAGGAAAATGATTGCTGTTATTATCTAGTTAATATTTGAGAGACCAGATTGTGTGAGAGGCTGGCAATGCATAATAAACATCATTTATCAAAATTCAGGGAAATTGCCAGAGTTCATTAATGATTTAATAATATTTGGTATTTGCATAATGTCTCCGCCAGCTCTTTTGTTATCTTCTTTCCCTGGTGAGGTTGGATGCAGACTGGTGGTGTCGCCATTGAATACATGTGGATTGGCCAGCAGGCGAAGGCTGGAGTAGTGTGGCTAGAGAAAAGTGGTCACCGCAGTTGCAACACAAGAGCTTGTTCCTGCGCATGGTTAGGATGGTAGCTGTTGTGTAAAGACCACCATCTGGGGATAGAAACTTCACACTTTGAGTAGATATTGTTTTCCCATTACACAGATGAAGAAGGTACAGAAACTTAGTGGAGGGAAGGGGCTGTGGCATTTGGCCTCGTGATGGGGTTCCAGTGGGATGCCTACAGCCCTCTTTTGGAGTGCGTGGCGTCCATCCCTGGCTCTCTGCTTCTGGTTCCCCTGGGAGGTAGCAATGGTGGCTCAGGTCGTTGGGTCTCTGCCCTTTACATTGGGAGTCCTGGCCTCTGCCTGGCTGGGTTGGGCCTTTTGAGGAGTGATCTGCCTGCCCACTCCTGGCTTTTTTGGTCATTTTGGGGAGTGATCTAGGGGATTTTTCTCACTATTTCTCTCTCTTTTCTATGGCTATCTCTTAACTAATAAGCAGAAAGTTAGTGGACATAAGAAACAAGTGGTCACTTAACTGGTTCAGGATGGAGGTGTTACTAAGACTCAAGTCGGTCTGATTCTGACTCATGTTCCTCTTTTCCTGCTTGAGTCTGTTTATAATAGAATAGGTACCCCAAAGTCCAGAAGAGGGGCTTTGTTTTATAAATGACTTTTCCCTCTTTGAGGATTTCGTTTCTGATTGCAATAAGTATTAGCATTGTACAGGCAGCATCCAATGTGATTTCTGGAGCAGTCTGAGCTCAAATATTTTACTTGATAATAAGATCACCTATTTGAATTTTTGATTGAGAAAATCATGATCATTATAAAACATTCTAATCAAAAATTTCAGTCTCAGCTTTTGGTTGGCTGTGTTGTGTTAGTCTCTTCATCTATTAAACATGAATGGAGTAACGCATCACTTCAGAATTATTTTGTTTTAATGTGACATCACTCTGTTAACTAAAAAGCAATGGATACATGGTTTTATTATTTATTTGCAGCAATATGCTTTGTTAGAGAGCTCTAGTGAACTTAAACTGGAATTATTTCTGCAGCTTGTCGTTAGAGAGGACCGTCGAGTACAGTTTGGGGCAGCCTAATGCTCTGGCCATAGAGGCAGGACCAGCTCCAGTACACAGTGTCATATGTTATGCTTAGCCTGTGTCTGACCATGGTGCTAGCTGCTCTGCATAATCCATTGGCTCACATATCTGATAACTTTGTCAAGACAGTTATCATCATATCTCTTGGGGGGGAAGGAGGGGTGCTACTATATCTTTTATTTATTATTTATTTGTTTATTTGAAAGGCAGAGTTAGAGAGTGAGGGACAAAGAGAAGTCTTCTATCCACTGACTCACTACCTAGATGGCTGCAACTTTCAGGGTCGGGTCATACTTAAGCCGTGAGGCAGCTGCTGCATCTGGGTCTCCCACATGGATAGCAGGGGCCAAGGACTTGGGCCTTCCTCTGCTGCTTTCCCCGGGCCATTAGTAGAGAGCTGGATTAGAAGCAGAGCAGCCAGGACACAAAACATTGCAGCTATGGGCCACCACTGTTGCAGGCGGCCACTCTATGTGCCACACCACCGTGCTGATCCCCTTAGTCCTGCCCCTGTACAATGTGAAACACAAAGGCTCAAAGAGGTCAAGTGCCAAGTTCATACAGAACTCTGGCATTTCTGACCCAGAAGTCCAAGCCCCTTTCACGGTCAGTTTTCATTGCTCTTTGATTTGACAACCAGACGGTCCCTCTTCCTGACTGTGACATTCAGCAGCCTGCTGAGTGGGGGTAGCATCTCTTTATTTGCTGTTTGTTGTTTCTCTCTCTTTTTTCATGCATTCAACAAATGCTTTCTGAACAATCTGTAGGGTTCTGAGGATAAAATAGTTAGGAGAAACTTCTAAAAGTTTCTAAAGACCTTGCCCTCCTCATTCTCTTTTGCCTCGATTTTGGGAGTGCAGTTTGCTGGCCATGCCCTCTGGCCAGGCCA